TCACCTACAGGGTAAACAGATCTAAGGAAGATGCCATCGCCAACACTCTACACACAGCACTGACTCGCCTTGAACACCAGGGGAGCTATGTGAGGATGCTCTTCATAGACTTTTGCTCTGCCTTTAATACACTCTTCCCGGGCAGATTGGTCACTAAACTCACTGACATTGGACTCTCCCAACCCATCAGCACCTGGACTCAGACTGTGAGACTTGGCCCCCACCTCTCCACCACCATCACACTCAGCACCAGTGCACAACAGGGCTGTGTGTTGAGCCCCCTTCTCTACTGCCTCTACACCCAAGCCTGTGCCCCCAGCCATCGCACCAACACTATAATCAAATTCTTGGACGACACAACCGTGATTGGACTCTCTGGAGTCCACGGACTGGATCTGCAGTGTTCAGAGAACAATCTCACCCTGAACTCCTCAAAAACTAAAGAACTCATCATAGACTTCAGTAAAAAACTCTACAAAACCTAATCCATTATACATCAATGGGGACTGTGTGGAAAGGGTACATGATTTCAGGTACCTGGGCACACACATTGCTGAAGATCTCTCCTGGACCACCAACACCATGGCATTAGTTAAAAAGGCACAGCAGCAACTCTACTTTCTAAGAATCCTCAGGAAAAACAACTTGCAAGAGAAGCTTCTGGTGTCTTACCAGCACTGCTCCATTGAAAAAGTGCTCACATATGGCATCTCCACATGGTACACCAGCAGCTCAGCAGCGGACAGTAGAGCCCTTCAGAGAGTCATCAACACCGCCCAGAAGAACATCAGCTACTTACTCCCTCCTTGGAGGAGGTGTTCAGATCCCGCTGCTTCAGCAGGGCAGCTAACGTACTGAAAGACCCACCTCATCTTGGTCATCATCTGTTCGACCTGTTACCCTCAGGCAGACGCTACAGAGTAAGACACAACTGTGTTTATATATGTTATGGAATAGTAGTGGGTGGCACATTGTTGCTGTGCAAAGAAAAACAAGTATAAGTTTTCACAATTTTTAGATTTTATACAAGTGAACATACAATATTACTGAAAAATGCAATTAAATCAACTGAAACCAGTGATGACATAAAAAAAAACAGTTTACATCTAATATAAAAGTCAGAAGTCCCTAATCAGCACTGACCAAAAAAATAAAAAAAAACAAAACAAAACATGATGATCAGAAAACGACTATCTCAAAAACTACATCACATCAAATAACTGGTATTAGCTCGAAACACACTGTAGATGAAAAATAGACACATGCTGTCTGTTCCTTAAGGTTACTGCTGAAAAATAAACTAGGGGTATAACGGTACATGTATTCGAACTGAACGGTTCATGCAGTCGTACAGAGAATACATAGTATGTACGAAGACTGATGAAATGATTCAGTCTATTGAGGATTCATAATGTCAGCATCATAACTCCTGACTCCCAAACAGACATGAGGCTGAGTTTCAGGTGTTTGAACTGTAAGCACGATGTCAGGAAAGCATCTTTTTAGATAAATAACAAGAGCGAGGACTTAAAAAAGAAAGAAAAAAACACACAAGCTGAAATTAAACAAGTAAAACGGGACTCATCCCCCATCCACAGCATGCAGTATTTTTGCGCCTGTATTTTCTCTGTTGCTAACTACAAAATCAGAACTGTCAGCACACAAATTAGTTCATGTTAGTGACTCTCCCCATCGAGTGTAAGTGACCCACACTGCAGGCTGGACCAACTAAAGTTGACTTAGCGGGGATTATACGTCACTATGTGGAACAAACTGTAACCTGCACTACTGTCTGTTCAAAATAAAAGAAAAGAAACCGAGTCTTTTGCATTTGAGGGTCTTTGTTTTGCTTTTTTCCATTGTACTGAACTCGTACTGAACCGTGATGTCCGAACTGCGGTGTGAACCAAGCCGTGACTTCTGTAAACTGTCACACCCCTATAATAAACACGTTTGGTATTGTTTCCTGATGATCTTGGACAATTATTTTCTGTCATGTGATTAGCTTTTGATTCCGAAGTCAAGATGCTGAACAAATACCTCACAGCTATGGTTATGGTTAAACTGGAAGTTTGATTGGTCAGTATCAAGAGCAAAATTTCATGTAAGTGATATATTTTATGAGTTCATTTTGGTTTTGGTTTATTTGTGAATGGGACAGTTTTGGATACAGCAGCACCAAAAGTGGGTGTTCTGTGACATTTTTTCTCATCATACTAAAAGTATTTGCTGGATGTAAATGGATTAATGTTCATGTTAACATCACATTCTATGCTGATTTTGATGCACATAGCTGTGTCACACCATGCAGCAAAATATATCCATAAAATATTTCAAAATAAGAGTATTTTTATGTAGAGTAGGAAACACTTTTCAGTGGATATGAATTACATACTAAAAGAAACATTAAGAGTTTATAAGTACATAAGTAATGATGTTAGTAACCAACAGTTTTGATGAATTATTAAGTATTCAGAGAATTTTTTTTAGAAAATGATAAATGAATTAAAATATATAAAATGATTCTGGATTGCACTGTGTAACAAATATGTCTTTAAATAGGTTTGTCCATTGAGTCAATCCACACATTTATGGTACCACTGTTTAATTCAGAATTCAGTGAGTGTCTGTAGTTTTATAATCTCATAATGACCTCTTTCATGAGTGACCTGGTCTTGACCAAATGTCAGGTGTTCCTTGGACATTTGTAAATAGTGTAATGAAAACATTGATAAACATAGCTAAAGCATAAAATCATTTTATCACAGGCAATGGTGTTCTTAAAAAATAAAAGTAAAAAAAACTTCCTTCCCCATGATAAAATCACAGTAACTGTTAGAAATTCGGCACCAAGAGTCAGGAGACTGGAGCTTCTGCGTTGACTGGAGTTTATTTCCACATACAGAGTATGGGTACAGCGTGGTCGATCAGCAGTCAATCAGCAGGATCAGACATCTAGTCTTATTCACGTGCATGCAGACAATCGCACGGGCACATCTTGGTCATCAGTGTGTCACCAGTCTGGTCTGGTCACCAGTCACCTTACCCCAAACCAGGGGTACGGTGAGGTTGTTCTCACCTCAGGGGGAACAATACAGATAAAACACCAAAAGGCACACAACTGTAAGACAAATACAGCTGACACAACAAAAAGACAACATGGGTTAGAGCATAGAAGAAAGCAAATGTGAAAAGACCTATACTTTCTCTCAGTAACACACAGCCTCAAGTGGCTTATTGCTTTTCTAAAATGGCAGCCGACATATAATATTTTAGAAAAATAATTTATTACCAATAATAATCGAAAAGTTTTGCCCCAAGAAATTCAGTCCTTTAGAGTTCGGTATCGTTGCAGCAACCATGGACGCTGAATGATGAGAAGAACGTTCGGTCGTTGACTGCTGTATTTTGCAGTCACTTCATGAATTGTTTAACATTTCGGTTGTATAATAATGAATGTAACATAGCGCTGTTTCATGGAAAAAACTTGGCTTTAAAAGTACTTTTTAGTTACCGAATCACCACCACGCATCGTATATAGCGCCAATCCAACAGTGCCCCTCTTCCTACACTGGGGCTGAAACTAAAATGGCTCCCTGCTCCCTACATAGTGCACTGCGTAGGAATTTAAAAACTGGCTTTTACTGAAATACTGGTTCTTACTTCATCAGTACACTCAGTTGTACATGAAAGCAGCATTAGAGTCAAAGATTATTCCTTTAACAGTACAAGGATTTTTGGTGATGTGGTGCAGTAATAGGTGTTTGAAAATTGTGTATTTTACAACGGCTTTGAACGAAGCTCAGCCAGTCAGATTTTAGGACTGGAACTATACTGTTTTATAAATACTCAATAATGGCTTGCTGACTCTTTGAGTAATAGTGGAGCCAAAGTGAAATGTTGTACTGGGATTGGGGTATGGCTGCCACTAATGACTGTTTTTCTATTGATTCATCTATCGACTATTTTACACCTGTTTTTGTATGATTAGCTTAGTATAAAGGGCTTTTAGACTAGGTCATTGCAAGGTATTGCTACTTGTTCCAAGAGCTACTGAGCGTTATTCATCTGACTATTGTGATTTTTCCGGTTCTGATTGTGTTTTGGTATTTTGACTTTTGCCCTTTTTGCCTGGTTATATTTGTGTTTTTGCGTCTTTTGTCATTCCTGGATTTGACCTTTGCCTGTTATCTGATCACGTTTTTGGATCACGATTCAAACATCAAAGCCTCACTTTCCCTTTTTATCTGCGAGTATCTGAGTTCTGAATTCTGAATTCTGCTTTGTTAATCAACTAATCCCAGCAGCCCTAGATTAGGGTAAACAGTGTACAAATAGAGAAGGTAGGTTTCAAATTGAGACTTTAAAAATAACATGACACTGTTGTTACAAAATATACTTCAAAAATACATTTTTTAAAGGAAAGACTTAAATAATACATTAAATAATACAAATACAACAAGTAGTGCTACTGAGAGAAGAGGACAAAAATGCTTCAATATGGTGTGTTTGTGCTGCTGCGATTGGCCCTGTAAAGCCTAAAATAATTTATTTAAAGTCAGAGGTGTCGTGTCGGATTTCACAGACGTTTTTGGACCATGTCATGCATCCTTAAATGTTATCCCCAAATCTTACATAGTGCAGCTTTAAGGCAAAGAGCAGTATTTACACTAGACCCATTGAATTTGATCCTTAAGAAAGTCATTATCAAGAAACAAGAAACTTGTTTTAAAATAAAACTGTGTTATTAAAAAAATGCATTACATCTGTTACAGAAGTACAGAGCATCTGATATTCATCGCAGGTTCAACTGACCACAACTACTGATATTTTTGCATTTGTCAGTGTGTCAGTTATAGCCCCATTCTGAAAATCGCCTACCCCTGTACGTCACATAAAAACTGCAGTCTATGGCTGGACGTCAAAGTAGGTGGGTCTTTGGCACAGTAAGCAACAAAACACACTGGAATCTGTGAAGATAAGCAGTCTGGCTTGTGTGACTAGCAGCTCAGTCATGCTGTGTCCAGTACTTTGAAAAGATGTAGCAGAGGAATGTGTGGAAGCCTGTGATTGGTGGTATTGTCATACTACCAGGCTTTAGGTTTTCTGCACAGTAATGAAATGTTGAATTATGATACCGTAATAATTCATCTGTAGACAGCGCTCTAAAGGAGTGTTTTTATCAGGCTGTCCAGGAGACCAGGTGGTGTAACTGAATTCTGACCCATCTGTCCACACCCACGCTCCCACCTGTAAAAGAAAAGTGTGACCCTAATATAAAATTTAGATCAGAGATTAATGCACCACATACCTCAATGACGCAAATACAACTGAAACCAAGTTTCAAAGGATTCATGCAGAAATACTGAAGCTATGTCACCCGTGCAGCATCCATGCCGCCTAACCATGTTGGTGAGTTTGATTTGGTTGCATTCAGCACTAAAGCCCGGATGAAGGTGTACTCTTCACTGCTGTGCACAGATGCAAGATGTCCTCCCATGGACATACAGTTTTACTAAAAGAGATCAGAAAAAAGTAATAATGAACTGTCAGTTCAATTATTGACACCTTGGTAAAGATGGGGTAAAAATGTCTTTGTGGATTAACTCCATCTCAAACTGAAAATATGAGAGGTAATCTAACTTTAAATTTAAATTGAAATTGAAATTGAATCAACTTAAAAATATATGTATTTAATCAAAAATCTGTTTTTTAAAAAATCTTTTTAACAATATTACATATGTGACAATTATTGGCATCCCTGCATCTATTTTGTACCACATCCTTTTGTCAACATAACAGCAATAAGTCTACTAGTGAGTGTTCAGGAACTCTCAAGTGGTCATCCTGTTTTGCTGGGGTGTAAATATGAAGTGACACATAGGCCTGAATTTCCATTAAGCTCGTCTTAAAGTTCACACCTGTGGTTTTGTGTACAAGTGTGCACTTTCATGTGTTTCTGGTAAATGTCCACAAAAACCACATACTAAAAATACCCTTTCCTGACTACAGCATAAAAGCTGTATTGTGTTAAGCATACATCCCACAGTTCATTGCATCAGTTTTGAAAACACTGGGAAACTACCTGGAACAGGAACTACCTGTCCCACAAATATGTGATGTGATACCACTGTGCACAAAATCACAAACTGCAAGTGAACTTTGAAACAGGCTGTTAGTCATTCATCATCATCATATTTTAGAGAATGCACAGACAAAATGAGTCCAAAATTTGTTGACCTTTATAAATCAGCTATGTATGTATATATATGTATATATATATATATATATATATATAGAGAGAGAGAGAGAGAGAGAGAGAGAGAGAGAGAGAGAGAGATTTATAAATCTAAATGTCTGAAAATGCCTTGCTCTGTATTCTCCAGTCTCATTAAGAATAATAGTAGTACACTCTGGTGTTGTAGTGCCCAAGACCAGTCTCGAGACCATAAACTAATGGTCTCGGCCTTAACCTTATCTAGACTCAGTCTTGTCAAAATTTTCCCCTTTTTTCAGAAATCAGTGAGGCCAGAGATGCAAAAGAGAAAGAGAAATGAAAGAAAATCCATTTGAAACTCACTTAATTTAGTGTAGGTTTCAACATGCATTTTCTGCTGAAAATAAACATATAAGTACTGACTTATATAAGTACTGAATGTAGAATTAGTTGTTCTAGAGAAAGTTTTGACATCAATATAGAGATTATTATTTCATTTTAATAGTCTTTTGTGTGGCTGTGGTGGTGTACTTACTTGTAGTTGCCTTTTTGATATTAGCTTTTATAACAGACGCTCCCTTTGTTTTCACTCAGGAATTCAGGGGTTTTACCTGGGTGAGTAATTCAACAATATTAAAAATCCATGTGTGCTGAAGGCTGATTTATTGTAGTAGTTCAAATGTTTGACTACTTTCTTGAATTCAGATTAGATTTCATTCACAAAGTCAACATGAGCAAGAGGAGATGAGATATACAGCACTTTTTGGTGCTAAGAAGAGTAGGTTGAAAATACAGGAGTTAGGACATAGAGATGAAAATGCAGCCTGTATTTCTGCTGTTGTCATGTGATTTAATACTGAGCAGGATAGTATGGGTGATGGTGAGTTGTTATATGCTGTTGTATTAAGGAAGCAGAGGGAGGTCAGAATGGCACTCAGCAAACAGAAAGAGGTCAGGAGGACAGTGAGCTGACAGGACCTACTAGCAAAGAGGTTAGTCAGAAAGGATGCTTAAAGTTGAATGCCATCGTACCAGATATGTAGGCAAATATTACTTTCAGAAACTGAAGGGATGATCAACAGTTGTACCTTACTGTTCTCAACTAAATGCTGGGACTTTTAATAAAGTTAACTACTGATAAGGCATCATCTCATTCAGTATCCCACACTGTAGATCCTGTACTGGTCCCAATACCAAAATGAATGGATAAGGTACGACTCAGTCTATAGACTCAAAAACTTAAAAGTGAGTCACTGACTAATTCAGAAGTGAGAAACATGTGGCTCCTATGAAGAAGATCCTGTAGAATATCGATTTAATTTTCAAGACAAGAAAATGGTTGCCAGATTAAGGTTATTGGGTGGCCTGCGCCTTTAATGTTAGTCTGGCAGAGTTCTAGATGCTGTATGCTAGTAACACATCTGTCTACATTTTTGGCATGTTGGTAAGCAATTTTGGTTCTGGTATAGTCTTGTGTGGGTCTGTGTTCTGCTGTTGTACGTGTGGGTCTCACTACTTGCTTGTAATTTTGGTGATGCTCACTGCAAAAGCTATGTGCCCCATGAGCTGGTGTAATGGACGTGTCATCATCTACAGACTGTAGACACTGTATTAAACAAGCAAGATACTGTAAGTATTTTAAGACGTCTGTTGTTTATTAAGTAGCGATGATGTGAAGATGCTGAAGAAGTCTCCGCTGACACCGCATTACTTGCATAAGATGTTTATTACAAAGTAAAATGGTATCATATCAAGCACTATAAAGTACCTGAGAGAGGATCCGTGCCAATTGTGTCCCCTCCAGAACAGAACAAACCAGCTGCTTATATAGGGTACTTGTTGTTGAAAAAGCAAACTGAACATATGGCCCTTTTTAAATTGATCTCATCTATGTGGAACTAAGAGAGAGACCTTTGGAACAGCGGGCCCCTTTAACGTAAACATTCCAAATCCTGCAGGACAGATAATACAGAGGACTTCAAACCTCACTTTATACTTATAGAAGTTAAGAGTGTTTTTACCTTATTTTATAAAACTATTCTTCTAAATACACCTCACGTCCGTTCACTGAAGCATGGGCCAGCACTGTACTGGGTCTTCTTTATGTCCTAGAGAAAAAGTTGACTCACGGTTTGTCACTGTTCGCACTCTGTTCTTTGGTTCCGAAACCTAAGACTAAAATGTAGTGATAATTACTAATGTTTTAGTATATATATATATTATTGTCTTGTCTCGGCCACTCCTGGTCTCGGTCTTAACTCAGACTTCACTACTAAAAGTCTTGGTCTTCACTCAAACTAGCTGTGTCCTTGTCTTAGTCTTGACTGGACTCCGCTCTTGTGGTCTGGACTACAACACTAGTAGACTTATTGCTGTTATGTTGACAAAAGGATGTGGTAAAAAATAAATGCAGGCATGTCAATATTTGTGACAGGGCTGCCAGTGATTTGGATGTAGTTTTGTTAAACAAATTTTTCATAATGGTTTTGTTTTCTTCCATTAAAGGTTAGATTTTTTTCTCATATTTTAGGGTGAGATTGAAGTAATCTTTTTTTACCCAGCTTTATCAAAGATGCCAATGTTCAGAATCTGACTGTGTATATTAATGCAGTTTTTACCTTGGATTTTTATTCATAGCTTATACATAAACAGTAAAAGAATGAAATTCTAATAGAACATTTAAATCTGTACCACAGCATCATTCCAGTTTGTGGTTGCTGTAAAGATCCTGAAACAGTGAAATCCAAACTGTGACCAGCCATCCTGGCTGATAATATTTGTGCTGATTGTTCAAATTGATCGGTTTCTCACAAGTACTAAGTCTGTCTTTGCACTTGCTTTTTAACTTTACACAGAAAGAGATTTTCCCTTTTGCCCATTCATAAAACAGTGCACCATTCTACTACAAGTGGAATATAAATAGAAGTGGTGATTAACCCTTGAAAATCTCAGACCTAATAAACACATCAAAAGCTTTGTTCCCTTAACTGTATGGAAAACAATGCAGACTGGCTGAGTTATTCTTAAATTATATAAGTCTGAAATGGAAGCTTGGATCCATTGGAGGTTCTGGACTGTAAAGTTAATTCATATCTTTTCAGTCAATCATAGTTGCTGGCTCACACCTTTCAATCATTGGCTACACAATCTTGGCAGTTCAATAAGCAAAAGTATATGAAATAAGATCTAACATGAGCAAATATTTTATTCATCACCAAGTGCCTCACTTATAAAACTCTTTATGGATTCCAGAGTGAAAGTGTTTATGTCAAAAAAAATGAGGAAATTGCAAACGCACTCAAATATTCAAATCAAACCTCTCTTATCTGATACTTTATATACACCTGGTAAGGGTAATATGTATAAGCCTCCAATTAAATAAGTTGTTGAGTTATATTATAAAGGATGAAAGTTCTGAAACAGTTAGTAGCCGACTACTGTCAAAACTATGTGTAACGCGACAGAAGGAGTCAGACGTGTGCGGATAAAAAGGCAAATGAGGCTGTACTTGTTGAATCGCTTTCCAGAATCTCATGACAAAACCTTATGTTTTCATGAAAATATCAGCATCTTATCTTGTGCTACCTCATTTACATAGATTTCCTATTTCTTTGTGCCAACTGTCCCACCTTCAGACTTTCATGAAAATACCAATATATCATAGTGCTATTCATAAAATGAAGCAACAATCCTTTCATACACATGAAAACGGGACCTTTTATTAAGCACTTGCTATTTTTATAATGGCAGAAAAATCTCTGGGCTTTTATCAAGTAAACTTTGTTGTCCATCTCATGGCATCTCAGGTCACATCATGTTAGCTTTGTGTATTGGGGAGAACATTTTTTCTTGACTAAGGAAAGCAAAATGAACTTACAACTGAGCGTGACTGGAAGGGTGAAGAGTCCTGTTGGAAAAATATTGCATATTAAAAGTCAGTTTTGACGGACCTACCTGTACATCTGTCATGTGACGTTTTAATACATCCCTCCAGCTCATGCCAGGGGCACCAGTAGTAATTTAGAGCCCCCCAAGAATGTCATGCTGTGCCCCTTGCCTCACCTCATTTGCCTTAAAGGATTCAATTAACAGAAAACTTCTATCTATTGAAATAAAAGACATATCCCTCACTCCCCAGTCCTTACAGTCCATATATAGAAACTAAGCTGCAAAAACAGCCTGTTTTGAATTCACTGTTTTTGTGATTACATAAAAACCAACACATTCACTGAAGTAATTCTCTTAATAAATATTCTTTTCCCATGTGATTGGGTAGGCCTGTGATCAGT